GGCAGAAAGGCATTTGGGGCAGTGGAAATGGGCACACCTGACAGACAGAAGTTCAAAGGCAGAACACAGTGTGGCTGGGACTAAGTTTTAGAAGAAAACTCTTAGTACAACTTTAGAAGATGCAACCTTGTTCATCCCCAATGACCGAAACACTGAAGTGTCCAGAGAGGACAACTTAGAAACTTTGAGTGCAGAAGTATGTTACCATAAGGAGCTTTGGAGTCCAATACCTTGGGTTAAAATTCAGTTTTCCCATCTGTAAGATAGGGTTTATAATAATAGTATCTTCCTAACAGAGGCCTTTTAAATACTAACAGCTAATGTTGAGCATTTATCATGGTTCCTATATATAAGTGGAAATTATTATTTCCAAGAATTCTCATAATATTTAGTCATCCTGTTTTCTCAAGCAAATAAGAAGTTTTGTTCACTTTTGTTAAAAATTAGATATGTGCCTTTACAGTTTACAAATCCCAGGTCAGAATTTTGAGAAACAAGTAAATTCCAGACCTGGGGCTGCCCAGTGCCAACCCCCGTGCTCTCCATCCTTTCAAAGAACCAGCTCTTGGTTTCATTGATTTTTTGTATATTTTTTTTTGTCTCTATGTTATTTATTTCTGCTCTAATCTTTATTATGTCCTTCCTTCTACTTACTCTGGGCTTTTCTTGTTCTAGTTCTTTCTAGTTCTTTCCTCTTTCTAGTTCTTTAAGTTGTAGGGTTAAATAGGTTATTGCTGATTTTTCGTTTTTTGAGTCTAATTTGATTCCACTGTGATCTGAGAAGATGCTTGATATGATTTCAATTTTCTTAAACTTGTAGAGACTTTTTTTGTGTCCTAACATGTGGTCTATCTTCATGAATGATCCATGTGCACTTGAGAAGAATGTATATTCTGCTGTGTTGGGGTGAAATCTATATATATAAAAGGCTAAGTGTCCATCCGACCAGTAGTTGTGATGCACACTGACCACCAGGGGGAAGACGCTCAATGCAGGAGCTGCCATGATGCACATTGGTCATTTAAAAATAAATAGCACTACAGACCTGGCACCAACAAACCAACACTTGGCTTCCCCCAAGTGGGACACAGGCCCCACCACCACCCCAGAGCAACACCCCACCAAATCGCAGCCAGCACTGCCAAGACTCCATGGCACAAAATGTGGTCCACAGCCCAGCCCAGACCAGAAACGGTCACTGTGGGCGCCAGGTAATGATGTCATGTATCAATGCCTGGCTTCCTCTCCCTAGCGACTAGCCTCCTTAGGGTTTCTTCGGCTCAGAAACCTGACTTGGTTTATAGCCAGGTGAAAATATTTTAAAGTTTAACCAAATGTTTGTGATGCATTTTTTCATGCCTCATCTCATTTGATCCTCACAGAAGTCCTGGAGTAAGTAGATAGGAGACTCAGTGGAATCCTATTTTCTTTTCATTAGCCGGAAAATGGAGATTTAGAAAGTTTAGAAACTTGACCCAACTGAAAGAGGTAAGAAATGGTGGAACTTGAAAATGGTTTCAGGTTTTTCTCACTGTGCAGAATATAGTCAAACACTGCTGCAGTTAAATATTTTACCCTTTGTTCTCCCTGCATGATCTATAATAATAATGTGCTTTGTGTTGATATTTACTGCTGTGTTGCTGAAAGAGAAGTTTGGGTGCTTCACTGAGCTGAAGTTTAGCTAAATCAGAAAACAGGTCTAATTAAGCAAGTTTATTCTATATATATAAAAGGCTAAGTTGACTCGAGCATGCACGATATATGTAAAGCTCTCACTGGCGCCAATCACACACATGTGTTTTGATCTGTCATTATTGATTAAGAATTTGGTTGACACTTCTGTTATAGAGAAAGGGTGAATAGCGATATTAAAATATTTCTTCTAATTAATTTCCTTTCAATGTGCACGAATCCATGCAGAGACATTAGTGTTCTATAAATGTCTCGAGCATGCACGATATATGTAAAGCTCTCACTGGCGCCAATCACACACATGTGTTTTGATCTGTCATTATTGATTAAGAATTTGGTTGACACTTCTGTTATAGAGAAAGGGTGAATAGCGATATTAAAATATTTCTTCTAATTAACTTCCTTTCAATGTGCACGAATCCATGCAAAGACATTAGTGTTCTATAAATGTTAATTAATGCATTGTTTGTGGGTAGTTTTTATCGCACACTAACAGGTGGCATGGGTCATTTTTGTTAATTTTTTTGCGCAAATGGCAACGTTCAGTAAAATTATGATAACTTTAGTTTTACATATTTTTTTTCAATGAAACTTTTTGTGATTTACTATAAAATGTATACTGAATTATTTTTCTTAGAATCACACTGAATGTGTGGTGAGGCAGAGAAGTGTGTGAAGG